TTCTTAAAAACATGATTCACTTAATAAATTATAAAAAGAATTTAATATAAACAAAAGACAATTAGGAGACAAAAGAAATAAAGCAAAGGGTTAAAACGGCTGGGTGCCCTGGCAGGTTGCCAGGAACAACCTGTATCTTGGGATATCTTGTGTATCTTGGGAACACTCTTTTTATCCCCTCTCGCTGTGAGGATTTTATGCATATTCAAACTTTTTTCAAGAAGTATTTAGCATGTCCCCTCCCTGGTTCCACCTATTTAGAACATTTTTATTTTCTGCTGGTCAGCACTATTCTTGCTGATGAGCATTATTTTGGAGTTTGGTTTCCTTTCTTTTGCAAATGGTCACTTTTGATAACCATCTGGGCCTCTCATCCTTCCTTTTGAGGGCAGCTGGGCTTCATATCTTCTGCTGATAACAGTTTGGGCTCTATTGTTCTCCTGATAAGCAGCTTGGGCCCCAGTGTCCTTGACCTCTGGGGTTTCCTTGTGTACCTCAGGGAGATCTGATGGTTGGGTGAAGATTATGAATAAATGCCCTTGTCTGTATATAATGTATGTGTTGTAGGGTTAAAATATATATATATATATTAATTTTGATAATAAGTAGTTTTTTTAGTTACTGGTTTAAAACCACGACACCTTGTACCTAGGAAATTCTTTTAAGCTTAAGACTTGTTAGCAAGAAAAAAGTACATACATAGCTAAAAAGTATTTAATATATAATATTCATCTGCGAAAGACAGTATCACAATACAAATTTATAACAGCATCCACAGTGGCCGTGTCCTGCTCTGTGACAAAACCAAACTGGACTTAGCTGCCTGGACTGGCTATTTCATGTCTTCTGTTGACTGCCTCCCTGGAAACTTTGATTTCCCTCAGTAGGCCCTTTGACATCTTAAAAATGAGATTCACTTAATAAATTATAAAAATAATTTAATATAAACAAAAAGACAATTAGGAGACAAAAGTAATAAAGCGAAGGGTTAAAACGGCCGGGTGCCCTGGCGCGCTGCCAAGAGCACACCTGGTATCTCGGGAATACCGGTTTTATCCCATCCTTGCTGTGAGGGGTTAATGCATATTCAAGCATGTCCCCTCCCTGGTTCCACCTTCTTGGATCATGTTATTTTCTGCTGGTCAGCATAATTTTTGCTGGTCATCATTATTCTAGCTGGTCAGCATTATTTTGGAGTTTTTGGTTTCCTTTCTTCTGCAGATGGTCACTTGTTGATAACAGTCCGGGTCCCTCATCC